CGTTCACAGTTTCAGTTTTGACAATAATTAACCATGCGCTTTCGTGCACCGGTTTTGGTTGCTGTCTTTTGGCTACGCATTAGGATGAACCGTAGGAGAAAGACGGGAAAGTTGAAAGGAGGGTCGAACAGAAAATGGAGAATTTCAATGAACTAGGGTTGCAAAAAATTGAGATGCACGAAAACACTGTTTACTATACAGCCGGTTACGATAATTCTTTTTTCTTTTTCATTTTACTTCCTTTTATTGAATATACAAAGATACAATTTTCAGGAAGGGGGAAGCGGCCAGAGGGCTGCCATACAACACACAAATGGGGAAAGTTAGGCGTGGTGTGATTCGAACACTCGTCCTCCGAGGTGATAATTGGTGACGTTACCACCGGGCCACCACCGCCCGGGGTCTCCCGTCATCGAGCCTAACGCAACCAATGTAACAATGTTTCCTGGCTAGGGTTTTCATACCCTCGTGCCAGGTCTTAGCTTGAACACCCTTGGCTTTTTTCCACCAACTACCTGCCTCGGTAAACATCGCGCATCGCGGAAACCTACTTGGTGACATGTGTAACACATGCCCCAGCCAACGTAATCTATGGACGTCGACTATCTGCCCCAGTAGGCGATCACGGTTACCTGAAATTCTGCGCCTAATCTCAGCAATGTTCGTCCAGCTGCCCCACCAGATTCGCGCAATGTTGTGTATACAGCAGGGTTCAAACACCGACAGTCTATCTTTATCCTGTTCTCATAATGGCCAAGTTTCTGCACCGTAGAGCAGAAATGGCCGAACTGCCGCGGCATACACTCGACCCTTCACTGGCAGTTGGATGTCACGACGGCGACACAGAGGTCTCAAGTTGGCAAATGCCAACCGAGCCTTTTGTATGTGAACTGACACTTCATCCGTGATGCGTCCATTGGGTGATAACAAAACTTGTCAACTTGGTGTATTACTTCCCCAGTTAGAGCGAGGTAGGGTGTTGGACTAAATCAGTCCTGTAGCAACATTTTATACTTTCAAGGTGCAAAATGCATACCGAACACGGCTACATTGGTACTCAAGCTGTCCATAAATACTTGCAACTTACCTAGATCTTTACTCAGCGGTACAATGTCGTCTGCCACCTGGGAACAAATCGATTTCTCAATTGATGCACGGGGATAGGGCTGTTTCCATAATAAATGTACAACAACGTTAAATAGAAAAGGAGAAAGAGGGCAATCCTAACGAACAGCATTGTCTGTGATGAACTCGGGCGAAAACGCGCCGGCACATCCTTTAGAGGAAAATAGTGCCAGAAATTCGAGCGGTCAACTGGATTGAAAGCCGCTTGAAGATCAAGGAAGATAAAAATAGTGGATCTACGAAAGGAGTGTCTGTGTTCTAAAATTTATCGAAGGGTGAAAATATGATCCATTCAACCTCCACCAAGTCTCAAACCGGCCAGGTTCTCGCGCGTGCACCCTCCATGTACGGCAGACAATTGACCGAGTATTATGCCTGCGAGAGGTTTAGAAGCATTTCCTGCGTATTTTTCACAAGATTTGTCATCTTGTAAATCGGTAAGATGACCGGTTCACACGACTCACATTGAATGAAAACACAGTTTAGCGAACAAGCTGCGTTTTCACACGATTCAGTTGGAAGCTGTTCCCCCTCCCACTGAACCCAGGAGTTTCGTCAACTCCAAGACCAACGCTGAACCCCCATCCTTTAAAGCTGATGGGAACAGACCATCTGAGTCCAAGGCTTTATAACTTTTGAGATAACGTATTTCACGGGAAACGTCTATTTCAGATGGAAGACTGGTGTCAACTGGGAGTATTTGCACAGTCGAGGTTGGAGGTGATAGGTCAGATGTCGATGAGGTCCAGTTGAACGGAGCCTCGAAATGTTCATCCCATCGATCAAGACGGCGTTGCTGATGGTGAATCAGTGTGTCATCGGTTTCTTCAACTACCTCACTTACGCCTTTTTTCCTGAGGCCCGTATTCATAATTAGACGGGAAATATTGCGACCATTATCCATAGCCATAGCTTTCTCCTTCTCTTTACACTTTCCTACCCACCAGTTCTCGCAGTCATTCCTCAGACTCTTAAAGAGCTGCTATTTAAGGGATTTGTGCGCTGTCATATGTGGCATTAGGAAGGGTTCTTCGGGTATCCAGCAAGGCATCCGAGGTCGATTAGATCTATCGTTTGTGCTCTGATCTTGCGCCAGAATCCACCGTTATTTGTATCGATATTTGCATAGCTTCCGGTATTCAGTGAGTACTTCAGATTGTGGTTGAACTGATAGGCGACTGGAGAACTCCGCTTTGAAGGCCGATTTTAAACTGACATTGTACATACAGTGGGTATCTGTTGCCGGTGGTTTTCCAGGCGTAGGGAGAATTTGGCTCGTAACAGTGCGTGGTCCGTATTCACAGGTGTTGACCAGCGAGAGCGGTAAGCTTGACTCGACCCTCTCCAGCGATAACTGATGCGATGTGGTCGATTGGGGTTCTTCGCTGTGAAGAGGTTGGTGGTTTCCACGTAAGGCGGNAATCCGCGGTGTGCGCAAAGTTGCAGTAGGCTATCTCCGTTGTCCGCACGGTTGGCTGGGATTGCACGTAGTTCGCTAAGAAGCCTTTCTGATTTGTTCAGGTAGCGCATTTGAGCAATGACTTCTCTGTCTGACACGCGGAGAATGAAGCGTGAGGATGAGGTTGAGTCAGGAGAACGCAGGGAGCTGATTGAAGTACGGTTTTGTATGCGTGTTTCGGAGACACAACATACATCTAGAATGAACGTTTCAAATGTTCTAGCCAAGGTAGGAACTGGTAGTGTGCGGACGTTGAACGCGCCTAAGTGAAAAAGGAATTTCGACTGCAAAAATCCCAATAACTTTTGATTGGTTAGCCTTACCAGTAAAAGGCTGAGTGATATCCGATGAGTGACATGTACAAGAGGTATCTGGAATTATTCTGAATTGAGAGGAAGAACTAGACAGATAGGATAAAGGTTTCTCCAAACGGGTGTCGAAAACTTTAGGGCGTGGCATACTGCGCAGCTACCCATATCGACGAAGGTTTTCCTTGGGAACCCTGACCGCAGCCTTTGACTAAAATCTATG